GCAATCCAGCATCTCAATCAGAAACAAACGATTGGTTAACAGAAGAAAAGAAGGGAAACGATTAAGAGCCCATCCACACTCCTTTCTGCCACTTTAGGAAACGACCCTCTCGAGATTTTACGACGCGTTGGGGTGGCACTGCGGCCTCAATAAGGTTCTTTTTTTTTTTCTGCATTTTTCTTTTTTTGCTACGTTATTGCGTTATGTCTGTTATTCTTGCTTACCGAAATAGACCTCGCGTTTGTGACCTGCCGTCGTTGCGGGATAATGGAGATTGCGACGTGAGGAAACAAGAGCATCCGGGAAACTGCCGGTGTCACGTGGTTACGTAACATAAATGATGTGAGCCAGTCTATTTTTTAATACGTTTTATTTAAGTATATTTTTTACCAAATTCGCAGGTTTTAATTTTTATCTGCTCTAAATAAAGTTTATTCACAGCGTTCTATTCAACGACAGTTAGATATATAATGACCAGCTGCCTAAAATAAGACCAGGTACCAACTTCGTCCTTCAATCGCAGAACGCAAAATAAACAACCAATGACAGACGTGCGTCGTCCGGCTGACAGAGGAACTCTTCGCTGGCACGCCCTTTCACGAAAGTGCGTCAACGTTCCAAGAAACCAAAAAAAATAATTCCGTGGCACAGTGCGGCTTAGTTCGCCATGAATTTAAATAAAGCAATCAAAACGGGACATTGAGAAACAAGAGCATAGTCTTCCAAAAGCGGGGGTCATCCTTTTCATTCTACTCGGGGAAACGAAACCAGAAAACTTGACTTCCGTCACATTTGCGTTAGACAGCGCGCCCACGGCGCCAAATCCTCCCCTAACGGTGTGGGCAGCTAATATTCGAAAGAACGCATGTGTGCATCGGGCTATTCGTGCTGTTTCCCCGTGGTGCGGTGCCGAGAAAGGAGGCTGCACCGGCGGAATGTGGGAGGAAGCTGCCGCCCGCGCACCGAGATAAGGGGCCAGCCCACAACAGCAGAGATGAGCGTTTCGGCTGGCGCTCGACATTCCCACAACGATGGATGGCGACAGCCACTTCTCCCAATTCAGAAGAAAAAACTCCGGGGCTGCGGAGAATTCCACCGTTCCAACTACGCAAAAACTGTCCACGCCAAAGCCATTGGATTGTCGCGGAGTGACGTCTGTTTCTTTAAATCAGGGTTGGGCAGAGATACTCTAAAATACTGATACTGAAATACATCCCTACAAAGGTATCGCGTTGAGTATCAGAAATACATTTGAAAACTAGAAAAGTATTTGGAAATACAAATACAGGAATATAACTTGCCACGGCAGAAAGAGTGAAATAATTTTTTCTAAAATAAAGAAAAACTATTTCAGATTTTGGTATTTGAATTACCGGTCGCAAGTTAATATTTATAAGGACAGCCCTTCTGCTACATATATTATTACCCTTTTATATGGTAGCCCTTCAAAGAAAAATAAACGTACGACTTTGCTGCTCTACTCAATTACATTTGAGGAGAAGTAGCTTTTCAAATAGCTTGTCGGCCTGCCGCTGCCCATTTGGCCAAAGCGTCATATTAGCCGACGAGATTAAGCTATCCACAGGTGCCGACGATCACAGGCTCCATTAAGACGAACAAAAACCGCATTCACACTGGGAATGTTTTGAAGCATGCGAAGGTCCTTCCTTCTACTTCTAGGTATATAAAGATTTTGCCTCAAAAATGGCATTGGGTAAATAAAGTAAAAAAAAGAAGTCACCTAATGCAAAAAACGAAAACGGTTTTTATTCGTGAGATGTAGCTTGAAATTGAACGTGGGCGTTCTCGAGCACGGCATAATTTTAGCGTAGAATTGACATTTTACTTTTAACATAGAGCTGTGCAAACCAAGCGAGTGTTCACTAGGTTGGACGTTCCGTCCAAAATGGAGCGCTTGTCCTTTTTTAGATATCTTGCACCCCAACAGGTCGGCATCTTCTAATGCGATCCCGGCGCCTTCCTTTGTAGTAATTTCAAGACGTCGCCTTCGAATGAACTGGTGTCTTTCATTTGATGATCTGAAGGCAGAATGTTTACCCTAATCAAAGCGATGGGCTCAGGGAGTGCAATGCACGCTGGTGAAGCTCGTGCCCACTGTGTCTTTAACGCTTTGAACCTACATAATAGTCGACCCACGGAAGCACCTTGGAAGAGATACGTTATAATTGCGCAATAGGGAAGGGGCCCTCGGATCTCAGGGACGTAATGTCCAAAATAAATCATGGTCTGCTTGATAGCAAAGCCGGAAGGTACCATTCACTGCACCCTCCACTTTATTTGAAGCACATAAAAAAAGAAAACAGTCGCTTGAACTTTCTCGGGTGTGTCATTGATTCCTCAAAAATGTTAATGAGATACATTGGTCCTTGATTTTATCCTGATACAAGGAATACACAGAAAATGTATTCTGATATTCAAATAGCGATACTGTTTGAAAGATTATATCGCGATACAAAAATATAAATACAAAAATTGTTTCCCAAATACTATCGCGATAGTATGTCCAACCCTGCCCCTAGTAAATTATTTGTTGGAACCAAGAGTGGTTGAGATAACGAGGAGGAATGCTAACGCCTGCCAGCCGGGATAAGAGCCGCGATGAGAGGCCCGTGGTGACGAAGAAGACAAGGATGGCCCGAAATCCTCAATGCAGCAGTATGAATCATCTGTGATGTAATGTTAATGCTACAATAATATGTTTTATCGCCCGATGTCAAAGCCCGCTTGGGTCCTTCATTGAGCAGCAAGAACCGTGTCGAGCGGCCCTTATGGTGCTGTGCCGTGAGGACACGGGGGAAACCTGAGAGAGGAGCCGAGACACGTCGGAAGCCAGAACAGAAGTGATGGATGAATGGATATCGGTTTGCCGAAACCATACAAGGAGAGACGGTTGCTGCGCGGCATGACTCTTTTCGGGGAACGGGACAGAGGGTGTTGCTACTGCCTACAAGTATTCAATAAGGATAAGTAATATACCGTATTCTAGCACGGACGTAGTATTTTATTCCTCGTCGGCATCGTGATTTATAGGAAACAAGATATATGCATTTAAAGAGCGAGATGTCGGCACTGACTGGCGGTGGAACTGTAAAACATAATTGATGGCGACCTTTTGCAATCTGTACCGAAATAAGAAAAGGAGGTGAACAATGAATCATTACTGAATTTATAAAAACTGCTTCGTCGCAGAGGTACAAATGTCGCATGCCACGGAACGAGGCGTTTGCAGAAAGTACTTATATTTAAAGTTTTACTTGTGTTCGGGACAAAAAGGAAATATTACGCAAGCGAATGTGAGACTACAGTGTCAAGACGTTAAAATCGTTCTATATAATTGCGTCCTGATCAAGCAGGAGGGTACAACACAGGACACTAGGTGGTGGAAGCCGCCGCCCGATTCTAAATGTTCCGCCGTGTTCATCCGTCCATCCGGCCTGGCTGTCGCATTGCTGAATATTAGGGCCAGCTGATCAAATAGTTTTTTTCTCTGCTTCTACAAACTTTAAAAAATGCACTCCTTGCTTGTGATCTGGGTACGATGCGAGACATATGAGAGAAATAGTGAATCCCGGGAATACTTATGTGTAAAAGTGTGCCTCACGGAGCAGCATACGTCAAAATAAGACAAAATAAGTTATTGGCCACAAAGTCATAAACTTTTCCAAAAAAGAACTTGTCTCCTTGGTGATTTTGTTAATCTGAAGATTCAAAAGGTATTGTTGCCGAAATAAAATGCTTAGAAGAAAAGAGGTAATGTATCTACTGCAAAATGAGTGAAACGCCAATTTTTGAAAGTGAATAACAAACATCCTAGATCTAGGGTTCAATGAAGAGCGACATTCTTTTTACGACGGTGCTTTCAGGTTTATAGAGTTACACGCCGGAATGTCACAGGTATGCTGCGTAACACTGAGAGTTGGAGAATACTTTTATAATTTCAAACGATTAACAAGAGCGAATGTTGATATTTGTTTCGGCAATGATACCATAGCAAGCCGAACTGCGTAAACCTTACCTTCAAAGCACATCGAGTTGTGAAGTCCATCCATCTAGCCGCTAAGCTTCTAAATTTACATATGCGTACGCCTCGACCCTGTCCTATTTTTCACTAGAAAAACTTCAGTGCTATGAACGAATGCTGTTATCTCCCTGTTCTTTTGATTTTTCACACCGTCCCTTTTTTTTGTACCGTAGGCTGCCGTGGTGTATGTACGCTACATGACTTTCGCTTTACATTTTTCATGATGTCGGAATCAACACCTGAGAGAACTGTTAAATGTGTGAGCAAGTCGCCTTAAAATCGCGTGCATGACTTTTTATGTGTGCAAATGTAAGTCTTTCATGTTGCTTGGAAGAAGAAACATTACTCTCGCAAAGATACCCTCGCTTAAATAATTTTATCCGAGGCGCACCCCGTTTCTTTTTTTTGTGTATCTAAAAATCTTGATTGTGTTCACCAGCATATATTTTTAACGGGTGCGGGCATTCGTTCGAATTGTATAAATCAGTCGGTTTTATAAAAGAAAAGCACTTTCCACCAATATTTGTTGTGTTTTGTGAGCCAATTAAAGCATCTAGTTTGCTTATGCAGCTTGGCTGGATGCGAAGCTCACAAGATGGGACCCACATAGGCCCCGGGAAGTAGCGGGAGCTCAGAGTGGAGCTCCATCAACACCACCTAGACAGAAGGCCTCCGCATGGTTTCTTCTTCCTCTATGAAACGTCATCACAGTCGGATCGCGCTCGGTCGGCTATTGGACCCGAGCCCGACCTTCGACGCGCTGGTTGGCCACGAGCCGCAGCCGAACACTGACGCAGCACTCGTGCCCAATCTCTCGCCTCGATCGATCTGACTATGATGACGCGTGTGGAGGCCTTCTGTCCAGGTGGTGTTGGCTCCATTGGGCCCCATTCAAGTGGATCAGTCTTTTCTACTGGTGTTGTCATTGGAAAGGCGTTTAATTACCTCTCTTTTGCAGACGACATTCTGAACGAGGCAAACGTTATCGACAGTGCGACGCCATTGGTTCGTCCTGGAAGCCCAGCAGAGATTACCGCAGATTCTCCGCGTCCGGTCGAGCCATCAGAGGAAGAAAAGGAAATGCAGAACACGGGTCTTCCAACACCGCCGCCAATGCCTCCCAGCGATTTCTGGAAGAAGCCTAGCCAAGAGCGCTGGTCCAAGCCGGACGCAGCTAGGCGCACCAGAGCCATTCCCGTCCTTACCCCAACTTGCCACAGAGATCACGGAACCCAGACTGCAACACCAGATGCTGTCGCTCCTGTGCTGACTCAGGCTTCTGTCGTGCACCATATGACGCCCGTGACTTACACGCACCAGTTCGTGTCGTCGGGTCCAAGCCCAGTGCTTCTCCTTCCCCATGTGGATGACACGCCGCTTCAACCCAGGCCCTTTTACGCGATGCCAGTCTGCCAGCCGGTGTTCGCTCGCACAGCCGTGACTTCTGGGGCTACTCCTCTCTATCCCAATACGACGTTCGTAATGTCAGGGTGTGAGGAATTGACCAGGACTCCGAGCGAACCGAAGAAGATAGTCACTGCATCGAAGTCTACCTGGACAGAAAGTGGCGTGACGGCCACCCCTACGCCCGGGATGGGGGATGAGACCAAAGCTTTACTAGACGAGTTTGGAAAGTGCCTCGAAGAGGACAGGGCTGCCAGGGCTCCTTCCGACTTGTCTCGTCCCAGGACAGCCACTCCGGTGAAATCAAAAATCACCGTGGAAACTACGACGATTCTTCAAACGGTAGAGTCATCAACGCGCCTAATCCGAGGGGCCGACCAGACTTCTATTAAGTCCATATGCGGTAATTCGGAGAAAGGGGACATACTGTCGAACTTGTCGGATTCTCCCATTCCGTTCGCAGATGATGACGATGTCATGGAAGAACTTGGATTTTCGTCTCATTGTGAGTCTAGATCGGCATCGCAGAATGGTATCAAACGCGACATTGTGACTGATGAGCACCTGACGGTCTACACGACAACAAAAAAAGCAGCCGAAACCCCCAAAGATTCAACCCCCCAGCCTTCCACTTCTAAACAGGACGAGGACGTACGTTCGGCGTTTTCACCCCCGCCGTCGCGGATTCAGATGACGTCCCCTTCTGCCAGCCGCAGCCAAATCCCAGTTGCCAGCCGTAGTCCAACTCCAGAAAAGACGTTCAAAGCCAACGGTGACATCCACGGCGAACTTCCTCGCAAGAGTCGCCCCAGTGGTGTGACCGTGCTGTCTGCATCAAAAGGCGACTCCATTAATTCCAAGTTTCAACGAGGCCCATGTCCAAGCCCCGGCCAGAGTTCAACCGTGACCACGGGTCCTGGTGGCACCGTAAGGGGGAATCATTCTAGGCCTTTTCTTCACTCAGCCACAACGGATTCGGCAGCCGGCGACCTTAGCAACCTCGACGACGTCTTTCGGAAAACCAAGTCTATTAGCGTCCCGAACCTTCTGACGACTGGTAGGGAAAAGTCATTTGCCAAAAAAGTAGTCTCACAAAGCACACAGACGCCGAACGGACTGGTTACAGTGGACAAGTGTCGCGTGCACGGAGGACGGGTCGCAGGAGCTCAAACTGAGGACAGACTGGATTCGTTCCTGAGGGACACTCTCCGCAAGTCCACCAAAGAGGTGGAGTTCGTCACCAAGGTGGACAGCAGCCAACCATCCAAGACGCTGAGGAAGAAAGTGACCACGAAGATACTTCGCGGGACCAGCGGAAAGAATGGGGACGTCCGTGAAGTCATCGAAGAGTTCTACGGTAACGTTGCATACGCTTCTCTTCAGAGAAATGCTTTGGCGTCCATTCTTTAGTCTTTTTAAAGCAATACGCTATGCAATTTAGGATTGTGATTTTTTTAGTTGATAACCAGTTACCTTATACAAAATGAAAATAATGGCTGGAAGACGTCAAAGACGACCTTGCGGCTATTACAAGGCGTCCTCCATGCACCGCTTTCGTGCTAAGGATTTTTATGTTGACGTCCATAAAGTCATATTTTGCAGAGTATTGTAGGTTGTCAAGTTCAAGCTCCTCCTAAACTACTTGACTCTTCATTTTCAGAGACTGACAGATTCGTAGAATTGAGAGGTTATTTTAATTACTCCATTGTAGCGACAAAATAAGCTCAATAAGTAGCGCATTTCTGCAATGGTAAAGTAATCCGTTTCCCATCGACGGCGGCCCTGTTATTAATTTACCGAACACTAAGCTAAAGTATTTAGCTACTTTTTTGGGGGATATGTTTTTCATTAGTGGCAAAGTGTATCACATAAAGGCGCACAGTTTAGTGAATATCGTGCGCATTTTTGGCTGCCTTACATAAGCTGTAACACACATACCTGCTAGCTCTCTAAGTTGCCAACTTGTACACTTTCGCTTATGACTAACGGCGCTTGATCGTACACGCAGATCAGTCTTCGCTTGTGCTGAGGCCCAGTAACGGAATCAAGAACGTGACGAGGAGCGTCCGTCAGGCCAGTGACGGCCACAAATACCTGACCACGGTCATCACTGAAGCCCCCGCCGCCGGCCTCTCCAGGAGGAACCGCAGACGAGGCTTTGTGAGTAGTCTTCCATGTAGAATCGTAGAACATTACTGGAAAGTTCAATGCAAGCGAGTTCTGAAATATATGAGCGCTCGGTATATTACCTGGACGTTGACATAGGTCACGAGCTATACAGGGTGAAGAAACTTGCAGAGTTTGGCGTCAATCGGCTCACTTGTTGGCAACTCTGGTTACCATGCAACTCCTTTAAGGAGATCAGACAGATCAAAATAAACTTAGAAGAATGGATAGTTGGGCGAGTTGGTGGGAATTCATTTTGGGACACAGCGCGAACAACAGACGTGGACGAAGAAGAAAGACACAGGACGAGCGCTGCCAGCGCTCGTCCTGTGTGCTTCTTCTTCGTCCACGTCTGTTGTTCGCGCTGTGTCCCAAAATCAAAATAGACATCACTTAGGCGTTGTTTATTTTTTTATTTTTTTTACTTAAAAGACTTACGATATGATTCATCGCGCTGGGTCTCGCTAAATTTATATTAGAGGGTGTTTCAACTGCTTTGTATCAAAATTTAAAGGAAAAATAATAAAAATAAACAGTAGCACGCTACGCCTGTCGAACCAAATACAGCGTTGTTCAAGCGTATATAGCAAGTCAAGGTATGTTTTCCAATGTCCCAAACTGGCTAATTAACGCAGATTAATTAGATTCGTTTTAACTACTAATTTTTGCGCAACCCTTCCATACGAAATTTGTAGAGAGCGCTGAAAAACATCTAATCATGTTATTTCTAGAAAGGTAGCCTTTGTGTACGTGTCTATTTCTTTTTTTTTTTCGAGCTTTAAAGAAAGTTTGAGAATATTTCGTGAGATATAAATGATTCTAAATGACTATTCGTTAGCAAACTGCGATGATAGTGCCCTTAGTCACGTAAAATAGCTTAAATCTCACACGTGTTTTTTTTATGTTTGAAACATTTAGGCAGACGAAGGGTATCTTGGTGAAAACAACTCATTGGGATGTATTTCAACACACTCTACAGTTCTTAAAAGGAACGGAGAACGGTGGGGGGCAAGGGCGTTGCGCTTGGACATATTTATGACGTTTGCTAATTAGTCGGGGTTCATTAGCCAGTTTGGCAAATTTGCAAACGATGTATCTTGACTTGCTCGATAGGATTACGGGCGATACTGCGCTGGTTTGACACTGGTGGCCTGCACCAGCTTTCTCGAAGTCTTGACACAAGTTACCTGAAACAGCCTGTATAGACGTTTGCAAGTATCCGCGCTTCGAGAGCTACTCTTGCCACTGTGAATGGAAAACGCTTTCTTTGGGCGTCGGTCTGGAAACGATGGGCACATCTCAGCAATGCTTGATCACAGGTGATGTACACACCCCAGCAGCAAGATGGCGGCTTCGAGAGGCCGTACTTGCAAACGTCTGTAGCCACCGAGGGCTTAAGAAACACGGATGGTGAGGAGTCCCCGTGAACATCTCATTGTCGCACTGGAGTAAATGAAATTGTGGCATTCGACGAAAAAAAAACATGATTGTCGTTCTTCCGCTTTCTTAGTTCGTCAGTGGCGTACTAACGTGGACGGCCATGTTTCACTCCTGCCGAGTCTCTGGCCGGCGGCCGAGCGCTCGCCCTAGTGAAGTGGCTGCGTCGCGCTGAGCTCGGCCGTGCAGCCGCTACGGAGTCTGACCGTTAGGGCTGTGCTGGCTCTGCGGCTAGCCGCTCCCTCTTACCGGCGGCCGAGCCGCTGCGCCGCCCTGGAGAGGGCTTCTTTCTGGGGTGGCGTTCCTTGGAACTACGTTGCGCGGCTGCCAATAGGAGCTTGTTCCTTGAAATTATGACGCGCGTCGGCCAATGGGAGTATATTCATCAAATCGCCGCTACAGTCGAGAGCTTCGCTCCATTGGGACAGGAGAGTTTAGGTGCCGCTTGGCGCGGCTTCAAAAGCTGATAACGCCGGTTCTCTCCATGGGACCCCCCAGTTAATGCTTTCTCGTTAAAACGGTCAATGAAAGAAGTGTGAACACAACAAACCGCGCCCGGCGTTTGTTTAGCCGTCGCAGAAATAGAGCTGAGATCTCGGGAACTGCACGATGATGCTGAGAACGCCGGTGACGGTGTTCTCTCCGATATGTGCAGAGCAAGACGGACATTCATTAGGATATCTACGTTAATCCGGGCCGCGCATGCGTACTCGGGCAATAATTATTTGCAAAGTGATCTATGGGTCTTGAGAACGCCCTGTGATAACTTACTGGTTAAAAGGCTGATTGTTCCTGTTTTTGCCCGTCGTTACCTGATAGATGACTGCGTTTCTTTCACGAGTTTGAGATTTTTGGCGAGTTGCGAATCATTGACGATGGTGTTCCTTCGGAAGGCTTTCACCTATTCGCTACGCGAGCTTCATACTTAATTTTATCGGAAAACTGAAACATTAAATGCAAACAAAAAAACTTTCAGCCTTTCCACTTTGGTGAAAAAAGAATACCAGCGAAGCTGTACTATGGTGGGAATGAAGTAATGGCCGGCCGCAAGTCGGCAAGCCAGAGTGGAAAGGCTCGAAAGGTTGCGCCATCTATGAGGGTCGGCGGCAAGCGGGCAGCCGGCAAACACAACACTCTGGACAGCTACCGCCATCTATGAGCGACGGCTGAAACCAGAGTTTTGTGTCGACATTTCTTTGCGGGGGACACGATCCTGGGGAAACTAGCCCTTAACAGCTCCGCTATAAAAGCTTGGTTATCACTTTTAAGATTTTCACAGCACTCCTGTTGCACGTGTCGGGTTCTCAGAATCAAGTCGGCTGCTACCATGAACGTTAGAAATCGAGAGCTTCTCTTATAAAACATAAATTATTTTATTTCTAAAATTTCTTTCTGACTGAATATGAGAGAGGTACAGTCTGAACCTGATACACGCTAAGCTGAATCCCTCTCAGGTTCAATTCAACCCGATAGAGGAGTGGTTATTTACGTACTGGACACTTATCTGATCCTTGGGGTTCCAAAGTACAGGGGGTTTTCTATAAAACAACTTGTGTATTTTTCAGTATAAATAAACCTTGTGTGGTGGAAAGCTCACGCTTGCCCTCCTGTAATACTAGTGGTTGAAAAAAGATGCGATAGCTTCGGTATATACAGGGTGTTTCAGCAAAGGCTTTCAAAAATACTTAAAAACTAAGGTGGTTGATAAAAAAGTTTCTCTTTCCGGGTACAAACTGCCAGCGACAGCGGACGTCAGAAATTACGAAAAACATACTTATTAAGTAAATAATCAAATAAAATTGACTAACTAACGTGTTAATTGGGGAAAATAAGCAAATCAATTAAATGAGAAACCTGCTAAGCATCTTCGAAAACAATGAAATCAACTCATTTTAAGAAGATACAAGGGAGGGGCTGCATTTACGGTCTTTCCAAAAAAGCAGTCCATTCGGACGCGTTTCTAGATTTCGGTTTCCTTTCGAAGTGCATATTTGAGCCAGCAGTCCTACTCCCCAGTGACCAGGATGCGCAACACACGTGCACCATACTTCCCTCCATTTTACAACGGAGGCGAAGCGGTGGCTCCGCGCCTTGGGCATTGGGGAGCTGGACCGCTGCAGCAAAGATGCGCTCCGATAAGAAGTTGAAACCTAAAAACACGTCCAAATGAAGCGTTTTTTCGGAACGCTGAAAAAAAGCATCACCTGCCTTATATCTTTCTAAAATGAGTTGATTTAGTGGCTTTCGATTATGCTTAGCAGGTTTGAATTTGAACGGTGTGATTAATTTCACTAAATAAAATTTGATCAGTATATTTAGCTCCTTATTTAGCTAATTATTATTTTTTTTTGCAATTGTTGACGTCTGTCTTGACTGACAAATTAATCCCGGAAAACGTTTTTTTTTTTTTTTGTCTTAACCACATTGTTTTTATGAAATTTGAAAGCCTTCGCTTAAACATCCAGTACGATCAGAGTGCCAAACCGGAACCAAAACGAGCCAAAAACCGCAACCGAACCGTTATTTATAGCCGAACCAGAACTGAACTGAACCAAAATCTTCGCCGCCATCTTGGAACTGATCCGGAGCCGAACAGAAAAAAAAAATATAACGGTAAACGGTTAAAAACGATTCGCGGACTTTTTTTTTTTTTGTTATTACCACAAGCTGAATATTTGAGAATAAAAAGTTGGCAGGTGTATCTCTATGTGTTAATCAAATCTTCATATACAGAATTGCAATGTATCAGAAATTGTGTGTTCTCGTGGCGGTTTTGTATATGCACTATGATTAGTCATGTGCCACGTGATCACGTGAGGTCATAATGTCAAGACATGCTGTCTAGCAATGTTCTATCACGTGGTCCTGTGACGCATCGCGACGTAATTACATGACTCACTGCGTCAAGTCGATTTAAATTGAGAACGTCTCTAGATTCATTAGCGTCGTTGAAACCGTGATGCCGAGTGACATCACGACTTGGCACCGCGAGTCGCGTGATACCATGATGTACTCGATAATCATGAGCCTGAGTCGAGTGCTCGGCTTCATGACAATCAGCATAGCCAAACATTCGGGTAGTGGATCGCGTTCAATCAAAGTTGAGAATAGCCGCCCTCTAACAATGTATGAAGCTCAGCCCATTCTCTATGCTTTGCTGACCCTATCGTCCATGATAAACGCTCACGGTATATAATTAGCGTCAGATCATGTGGCCACGTGTTCTAATTCGAGTTAAGGAGGGGAAAGTTGTTTTTTTCGTCATTTGAGTGAGTGAGTGAGTGAGTGATTTATTTGCACTTAAATTGGTGCGCACACGGCGGCGTGCCAGGCAAAGCAGATAGGCAAAAACCCTTACGCGTGTGCGTCTGCCAGCCTGCCGCCGTGTACGTTGGGAGTTAGGGCTCATTCACACTGGAAGCGGATCCGCGTTCGCAAAGCGGTTGCGAACGCGGTTGTATAAGGATTCAGTACAATTGCACGCGCACACGATGACATCAAATGCGCGTGCAATTGCACTGGATCTTTATACAACCGCTTTCGCAACCGCTTCGCGA